GTGCAGGCAGGGCTCGGGCAGTGCAGGCAGGGCTCGGGCAGTGCAGGCAGCTCAGGACCCTCCTGTGTTGGCTTTCAGAAGCCGAGTCGGCAGGAGGGGAGGAAGAGGAGATGCCGACCTTCAGCTCTCGACCGAGCGGTAAGGACGATCCCCCCGGGGGGGCAGGGGGTGCGGCGGAGCCTGATCCTTCCCTCCCCGCGCTCAGGCAGGGCACGGAGCAGCTGCAGCCGATGCCAGAAGAACCTCTCCCTGCAGACGGCCGTCAGGGTCCTCTACGTCTTCTCCATCCTCCTCATTGTGGCCGTGACAGTGCTGGCTGCCCTGGGTGAGCACGGGCAGGGTTGGGAGGTCAGGCTCCTGCCCTCCCTCCTGCCCTCCCTCCTGCCCTCCTCAGGGCAGCCCCTCGGGGTACCAACCCCCCCACAGAGCCCCTTCAGCACCCAGCTCCCCTCACCGGGCCCTGCTCCCCTCTCGCCCAAGGTCCGCCTGAGCAGGGAGGGGGCGGTGGCAGGGTACGGGCTGTTGGCCGCCGCGGAGCTGGAGGAGGGAGAGGTGCTCTTCAGCGTCCCTCGCAGCGCCGTGCTGTCCCAGCATACCAGCTCCATCCAGGCCCTGCTGCAGGAAGGTGAGCACTGCCACCGACCTCCGCTTTCCCCAGAGAAAGGGGCCGGGAGGAAGCCCAGGGACCGTTCCTACTTTGTGGAGCAGGGATGTTAGGCACCGAGTGAGAAGGTGAGGCTGGACCCAGGCCGGGCAGTAAGAAAACCCCTACGATGCTGCTTTTGTTAAGGCCCAGACAGACGCTGCCAGGGAAAAAGAACAGCACCTTTCTTGCTGAATGCAGGAAAACGGTTCCTTTCTTGCTGAAGGGTGAGGTAGGGCCTGGTGCTGCTCATCCATTGCTCGAGAGCAGCTGCTTCTGGTTCTGTGTCAGCTCAGACCAAACCCAAGGCTGGAGTGGGCTGATGGAATAAAAGCAGAAGTCCCCACCCCAGGGTAAAGCCAGTCAAGGAGGGCTGTAGGATCAAGCTTTGGTTTTACAAGATATGTTCTCAGAGGAAAGGACAAAAACCTTAGGTAACTTCCCTTTTCTCTTTGGTTCTTTAGCCCAGGAGGCCCTGCAGAGCCAGTCAGGGTGGGTGCCACTCCTGCTGGCCCTGCTGCATGAGTACACAGCCAGCGACTCGCCCTGGCAGCCTTATTTCTCCCTCTGGCAGGACTTCAGGAGCCTGGATCACCCCATGTTCTGGTAAGCAGGTGGGGCTGTGTGGTGGCCACTGTCTGGGAGGTAGAGCTTGGGGGTATGGGGTGACTCCAGCCCTCAGTGCTAACCCTGCGCTGTCAAGGGCAGGAGCCTGAGGTACCCCCTTATCTGGGCTTGGAGCTAACCAAAACTCCAGAATTTGGAGAGAGAAGGCAGCTGAGATTGTAAAGGAGAAAGGAGTTTAGAGACCCCTCTCCCTGGGGCAGATGGAGATAAGCACACTGTTTTTCTTGCAACAGGCCTGAAGAAGAGCGAACAAGGTTGCTGCAGGGCACGGGCATCCCAGAAGCTGTGGACAAGGACCTGGCTAACATCCACATGGAGTACAGCTCCATCATCCTGCCTTTCATGAAGTCCCACCCCAGTATCTTTGACCCCAAGCTGCACACACTGGACTTGTACAAGCAGCTGGTGGCATTTGTCATGGCATACAGGTGAGAAGTGAGGGCTGTGCTCTGACAAAGAGCAAGGACAAAGAGTAGGAGCACAGGAAACATCAGAGGCTGTGTTACTTAAAAGGCTGCAGTTGCACAAGAATGCAAGTATAAGGTGAGACTTGCCCTGTGCTGCAGGGTGTAAACCTGCCTGTCTTCATGTCTCTCGTCTTAGCTTTCAGGAGCCTTTGGAGGAGGAAGATGAAGATGAGAAGGGGCCCAATCCTCCGATGATGGTGCCTGTAGCAGATATTTTGAATCATGTGGCCAACCACAATGCCAACCTGGAATACTCCCCTGTGAGTGCAAAGCCACCGTGCCAGGCATCAGCACAGTTCCTCTTCCCTGCAAGGCCTCTGGGAGTGGCAGCACAGCAAGGCTGTCTCCCTGAACCTGGGGCAGCAAGTCAGGCCTGGATCTCATTAAAATGAAGCTATTTTGCTCATACTGCATGCTTGAGCTTTAGCTGGGAAGAGCTTAGGGTCTTTCGAGCCTCTCTGAAACACCTTGTTTCAGATGGTAGGATCACAGCAGCTCTGAGCAGCTCTTGTCTCCCTGCCTGCAGCAGTGTTTACGAATGGTTACAACACAGCCCATCAGCAAGGGCCAAGAGATCTTCAACACCTATGGGCAGATGGCCAACTGGCAGCTCCTGCACATGTACGGCTTCGCAGAGCCCTACCCCGGCAACACCAACGACACGGCCGACATCCAGATGGTGACAGTGCGCGAAGCAGCGCTGCAGCGTGAGTGGCACCCGCAGCCACCAGGGCACGGACGGGGCAGGGATCTCTTAAATAGGCCTGAGACAGGGATCAGGGGTGACACCAGAGATACACCTGTTCCACAGCATTTCAGGTGTTTTTTTTTCATTTCTGGTTCCTGTTTGCCCTTCCCCTTTCCCCTCCCTGGTGGGGTTGCAGCTCTGCTCTCTTCCAAGCAGGCGCCGGAGGGGAAGCACAGCAGCAGCTGGTCTCTGAGCAGTGGGACTTCTTGTGCCAGCTGGAGATGGTGGGGGAGGAGGGCGCCTTTGTGCTTGGCTGGCACGAGGTGCTGACAGAGGAAGAGCTGTCCATGACCCTGAAGGTAAGCACTGCCCTGGGGTGGAGGTTTACAGCTGTGCAAACCAGCACACAGGAAGGGGGACAAGCATGCCAAGGCATTTTGATATTAACACTCCTGAAAAGTGGTAGGGGGTGTGGTTTCCCAGCTTCCAGGCTTCAGGTGCTGTTAAATCACCTTCCCTTCCTGAAGTAGCCACCCACAGGTGCTAACATACCTGTCTTAAATGGCTCCCTGGCTGCTTTGCACCCTTGTAGGCAGCAGCTGAGATGTCCTTTAATAAGACTGTTACCAACACCCAGGTTTGCTGTTTGAATGTTCTTCTAATGCACAAGTTACTTCTGATTAGGTACTTAAGCCAGCTTTACTCTCTCCCCTTTAGTGCAGCTGAGGAATAATTCACCTGCTCCAAAAATGGGCCCTAGAACCCCATTTCTGTAGAGGAGAAAGCCCAGTGTACTCACTGCCAGTGCCTTGTCTCACTGCCTGGGTCATTACAGGTGCTGTGCATGTCAGAGGAAGAATTCAGGGAGTATAAGGAAAAAGATGGCTGGGAAGATGACAGTGAAGAGGAGGAGAACTCTACCCTTTCCAACGAGGCGCTCTCGAGACTTAAAGCCCCTTGCAAGAAGCTGCTTTATGACAGTGTGCTGCTGACCCTGGAGTCCTATGGGTCAGACTTGAAAGCAGAGCAGGACTTGCTAAATAACAAAGAGGCTTATGAGAAACTGAGTCGAAGGGAGCAGCAAGCTTTGCACGTGCGCTATGGACAGAAGAGGATCTTGCATCAGCTGCTAGAGCTGGTACACTAGAAACCTCACTGCCTCTGCAAGTGAACTGCCTGGAACTGTGCTGGGAAGGGACAGCCAGCCTTCAGCCATCTCTACAGCAGCCAGAACAGATGGCAGGTGGGATATGGGCCCACTTGTCCCTCATAGCAGCTTTTTAGCTACCTCAACATAAACAGGTATCTTTCACAGCACAGAAGTGGGTTTGGGTGGCCTCATCTTAGGATGGGAGCTCTGGAGCACAACTACCACCTTCTTCTAGAGGACTTAAGAATTAACACAAATGGCTGTTTTGGGAAGGCAGACATACACTGTCAGAGCAGCAAGTGGGTTCCCTCATTTAGCATGAGAAATTTAAGGCAAGAACTGTTTGTCTAGATGAAGAGGGCACAAATCCATCTGGTAGCTCTTACAGAGGTTCAGAGTAAACATCTGGCAGGTGGAGATGCTGACAGCAGTGAACTCTTCACCTACACTTAGTTAATACTGAGCATTTTAAAGAGTACAAGCCCATCCATCTGGTTTTCATGGAGGCTCAGTAGAGCAAGGTATTTAATTTTACCTCTATAAAAGGCATGTCTGTACAGGCTTGAGACTCTTCTAAAGGAGCACTGTCACAGCTCTGCAGCTGCTGTAAGCTAAGCATTTGATACACACCCTCCAGTGATATGGTTCTTCCCAGAACTCCAGCATTGCTCTGCATCATGTTTTTTCCCTCACCAGTTTTTGTGTGACAAAACCCTGGAGGTTTGCAGGCCAAGCTGTATTTAATAAAGACAATGTTCCTTACCCAGCCAATGCTGCCTACTTCAACAGGGTGCAAAGCCCCATATATGAGGGGGGGATCTTTGCTGCTTCTGCAGTTACAAGTATTGCAAACAAGCAAAACCCAGGCTGTACTCACAGAGATAATGGTCAGCTACAGCACTACCCGCACTGCTGGGGGCCAGGGTGGTTTTAACACTACCTAGGGAGCTTTTTAGTTTCCCTTTTACAGTGGTGTAATGCAGTGGCTGTTTAGAGTCCAGTTTGCCATCCTCGTACTTCTGTCCCTGCAGCAGACTAGATTTCAGGCATACAGTGGTTCAGGAGGTTACTCATCATTTCTTAAACATGAAGGGTGTTATACCTAGGGGCACTGCTGGCAAGGACACATAATCCCTGGGGAGCTGACACCAGCACTATTTACTTTGACAGAACCAGCTGCAGGTTCCTCACTGTCAAGAGAGGATTATGAAGTGCAGTGGCCTCCATCTTACTCAGCCAGATCTTGGCTGAGTCCTGTCCACCTTCCACCCCCTCTTTACACCAGCCTAACAGTTCTTAAAACCTAAAGGAAACAAGCCATGTACAGCAGCATTAGTACAGAACCAGAGAGACCTTTGAGCTTTCAGTCATTAGAACAAGTCAATAAGCTCTGCATGGAGTTAAATGGCAGAAAAAAAAAATCCCATGGCACATGGATTAGATAAAGAGAAACTGGTTGCTGGTAATTCTCTGTATCCTAGCCTAATACAGGAGGAAGATTAAGCTGGAGTTGCAAAACCAGGGCCAAAAAATTCCAACTTCAAAAGGCTCAGTTTCAGCACAACTGCTGACCCGCCAAAGTGCCAGGAAATTATAGGAACTGGCAAGACATTACTCCCTGACACAGCTGACTGAACTGCCCAGAAACAGGTCACAGAACTCCCTCTGAGCTGCAGTCACTGGCACCGATGGCTCAGTGGTCCCCTGGAGCTAGTTTTTGTTCCGTGCAGCAAGAGCACAGCCAGGTACACAGTCCCTTAAATGTGAGCAGGAAATCCTGACCTCTCTACTCATACAACAGCAGTGAGCTAGCTTTAACAAACCAAACTAGTAACATTATCTAAAAAAAAAAAAAGCACTGAAGCGCTATTTCAAGTATCTCCTAGGTTGCAAAAGGCTAAAAGACTTTGTAGTGTTAGCAGCACTGAAGCCACCTATCCTTATTACAACTAGCAACCTTGCATAGATCCTTGCTGAAGGGAATATCATAGCAGGGTGCAAGTTGTTGGAAGTGAAGTGGGTCTGCTGTCTGTGCTCTGTACCCCTCCACTGCAAGCAGTCTCCTTTCTAGCACAATCCTGTCAGGGACAAACTCTGCTTGTGAACTCACAACTGAAGTATTCCTATCTCCATACAACTGTCCTGTCCTGCGCTTCAAAACAAGGCCCTGTCTAGTCCCAACAATTCTCCCCTCTGAGCTTATACTAGAAAAGAAACCCAGGTGTTTTCAGTAAGGCATTGCCCAAAACACACTGGAAAACTGCAGGCTTTGGATGGAACAGGTTTTGAAAGACATCAACTGGCCAGGCAGGATGGAACTGGAGAGAATAAGCACAGTGGCACGTGCTGCATGTCATGACTTTAATGTGTAACTACAGTATGCATACATACAAGAAGTGGGAGAACTAAAGCCCAAGAACTAGAAAGGTTACAAAATACAACACAGGGACCAATACTTTACAAAACATTCAAAATCCTTACAAAATGGGCTGTATTGGTCCTTTGGGTTTTTGTTTTGTTTTTTTGTTGTTTTTTTTTTTCCTTTTGGTTTTTTTTTTTTCTTTTTTTACAAACTTATACTGTGTGGTAACAGGGTGGGGGGGCAGGAAAGGCCTAGATTTAACCCCCCACCTTCCAAAATTTACAAGTGTCAAGAAAAAAAAAGCTATAGGCCTGGTCTCTGGTTTCTTTACTAAAAACAGCTGACCCTCTCCCAAAGGGCCTGAGGTGTCTTCTCCAAGAGGAAGGAGACATTCTCTGACTGCCTCCACTTGCTGTCTGTCAGCATTTGATGTGGGTGGGGGGAAAGCAATGCTGAACCTTAACCCCTCCCTCACTCCTCCCATAGTCCATAGTATTCCCATATTCCAAACACATCCAACTTTTTTTTGTAAAACAACTTAGTGATTTAAAGGTCCCCATCCACATAAAGAAAAATAAGTTACATAATATTATAACTGGCTTTTCAATATTCTTTGGGAGTCTGGGAATGCCAGGACAAGGAGGTCTGCCCCAGACAAGTGCTTGGCATCAGCAGCTGCCCCTTTATTACAAGCTGGACAGGCACCAGTTACCCACCTGCCTCTTAGACAATTTGCACAAACCCAAAAGTCCAGACAAACGTTTTTGTTCCTTGTATTTACACTAGTTCAAAATGATATTCACAGCATCTTCTGAATTTTGGCCAAAAGTCAAAAACTTGTTTCAAACTTTGGAACGTGCCCACATACTTTCACCCAGGGTCTGTTGTGTCTACCCAATCAAGGGGGCTGGGAAGGTCAGGAGGAGCCTTACAGAGTCTTCTGTCAGTCGATGGGACGGGGACCTCCAGGCAGGCACGCTTGCAATGCAAGATGTAGCTCATCTAACTGGCACCAGTCCCTTCCATTACTTGCTGGGCCTGCTTCTGCCCCATGCAGCACTGTGCAACTGACTGGAACAACCTGAACACAGAAGCAAAGCAGCATTAGGTGTGTTCAGGGCAGGAAACAGCACTTCTGCTATGAAGTACCAAAAACGCAAGGTGCAACTCAGTCCCTGCTTCAGATAAATTGTTTTATGATTTTTGTGGTTGATTTATACTCACTTCTCAATTTCTGGAGCACAGTGAACAAACTCATGGTTCCAGAACTTAAATGCTGGATTTTTTATCAGCTCAATGAAAGTAATAAGGAGACCCCAGGGATGAGGCCTATTTACAATCAGTCGTTCCAAGAGTACCCTGAAATCCAAAAGTAAAACCAGTCAGAACTCAAAGATCCAAAAGACAGAAGGAAGGAAAGTGAAAAGCTGCATGCTGGGAAGTTAAATGCCTTCCCTCTCACCTAGTGATCTGCTCCTGGATAGCCTCAGTGTTGGCCTCTGCAAACAGGTACAACATGGTGCAACTGAAGTAGTGGGTGTGACTGTTGGGATATCGCAGCTGATTGGCAATAGCATTCAAGAAAAGGTACCGGCCTGCAGAAGAGGAACAGTGAGTACACAGTTTCACTTACAGACAGACAGACACACACACAGACACACACACACACACAGACACACACACACACACAGACACACACACACACAGACACACAGACACACACACAGACACACACAGACACACACACAGACACAGACACAGACACACACACAGACACAGACACAGACACAGACACAGACACAGACACAGACACAGACACAGACACAGACACAGACACAGACACAGACACAGACACAGACACAGACACAGACACAGACACAGACACAGACACAGACACAGACACAGACACAGACACAGACACAGACACAGACACAGACACAGACACAGACACAGACACAGACACAGACACAGACACAGACACAGACACAGACACAGACACAGACACAGACACAGACACAGACACAGACACAGACACAGACACAGACACAGACACAGACACAGACACAGACACAGACACAGACACAGACACAGACACAGACACAGACACAGACACAGACACAGACACAGACACAGACACAGACACAGACACAGACACAGACACAGACACAGACACAGACACAGACACAGACACAGACACAGACACAGACACAGACACAGACACAGACACAGACACAGACACAGACACAGACACAGACACAGACACAGACACAGACACAGACACAGACACAGACACAGACACAGACACAGACACAGACACAGACACAGACACAGACACAGACACAGACACAGACACAGACACAGACACAGACACAGACACAGACACAGACACAGACACAGACACAGACACAGACACAGACACAGACACA